AGTACAAGTTTTGTTTGATTTGCTTAAGTGCGCCAGAGGCGCTTTCTCGGCAAGAGTGTAAGGCCGAGAATCAAAAGAAAAATTGACGGGCGCGGTAAGGAATTACCGGCCGCGTCTTAGTGTGTTGAACGGGTCCTAAAAAGGACGGTTCAATTGAGTTAGCTCGTTGCAGCCCCTTTCCCGGCGTCGGTGGAACTCCGTTCGGGAAGTGGTCTTCCGTCTGACAACTGCTCTCTGAGCAGGCTCTGAGCGGTGAAGTCTGTACTGCGACGGAACGAGTCTCTGATGTGCTGGTGGTAGCAACCGTCTCGGCTCTCGGAATTGCGGATTGCTCCGTGTACCGAGGAGAGAGAGGTCTCCGAATTCGGATGTCGCCTTGTGTGAGCGTGTCCCTTGGTGGTCGAGTCAACCGGACGCAGAACTCTAGTGGAATTAATTTCCACACTAGAGACTGAGGAGGTGACGGCGAAAGTGGAGTATCCGCGGGCCGCTTGGTTGAAATGTGCGGCCGATGCTGGGACTCTGTTTTCTTTTTACGCGCCTTGCGAGGCAGCGTGAGGAAAACTGCGAGACTATGTGTCTCTGGTTAGGTTCTGCCGAGGCAGAGTACGACTCAGTTCAAGGGCCCTGGAGAGAGCTCGCCTTGAAGCGAGTGAGTGAGGAAAGATCTGCGGAGCAGCTCTTTTATATCTCGTCGATCGAAGCTTGATCGCGAGAAGACTCTTCACCGCCTGCGCAACCTGGCGGTGGGTCCGCAAGCTTGTAACTGGTAGAAGGCCTGCGGCGCGTAGCGGCGCCGCGGCGTATTATACCGCGTCAGTGCAGCGGTGTGGCGGTGAGCCGCCACAGATATGTTTTCTCTTTCTTCGTCTAATAACTTGAAATAGCTGTATTTTGTTACTTTTATTGTGTTATCTCCATAAATAGCATTGAATATTTTTAAAATATCAATCTTAGCTTCCCATGATAAGTTATGTCTCAATCCTAACACTAAACACATGAACATTACATCCGCAGCAGCAGTTTTGGTACATGGGCAGAGAGTTTCTTGATCCGAGCTTGATAACTCTCTTATAAATTCCTCCTTGTCAGAGATGGAATAATTTTCATCTTCTACAAGACAAGGTTTAATATTTTTCAAAATAGGTTTATCTCTGAGACAATCTGTAACCTCTTCCAGATTCGATTTATTTTTAGTTTTATATTCAGATTCATTTTCAGTTCCATATTCAGATTCATTTTCAGTTCCATATTCAGATTCTTTTTTAGTTTTAAATATGATAGTATTTTTAGAGTTGCAATCTTTATTGTTCTTGTCTTGGTTTTCAACGTTAGCAAAAAATTAAAAACTTTCAGCTGAAAACGAATCAATCAAATCCGAATCTTGACAGGTAGATTGAAGCACTGACAAAATTGGTAGAGTTTTTCTAACTAATGTTGAGCTTGGAGTTGGGATCTCTGTTGGACTGCTCCTTGTCGATACAATTTGAGGTACTTGTGTATATACTTGATTAGAATTCATACATTTTTCCTGCTTTTCATCAGAGTTTGAATGAAGTAGAAACCGTTCTTCTTGTAGAATTTCATGCACAGACTTTTGCTGGGTAATCTGAAGATATTGTTAAAAAATTAAATTAAAATTGAGAGATTAGTAAACACAATTTTATTCTCCTTTTCTTATTAGTTAACAACAGGGATACTTTACCGAATTAGATCGAAACATTGTTTCTTCATCATTTTGTCGTTTGCGTCGATACCATTGCGTACACCGAGGAATCCTCTCTTTTAAAAACAAATAGCGCTTATAACGCCCCATTTGTAATGATACATACACATTCACAATTGCAATATTACTTTTTAGTATTTCTTTTTTATTCTTATCGGCTTTATAAAAGTGAGACAAAACAATATATCTGCTTTTTTTTACTAACTGACAAGCCGAGTACACATAAACGCTGTTCTCGGATTGATGTATGCGCGAGATTACGTAAACAAAATGACTTCACATAATCAGGATGGCCAGATTTTAGACGTTGGAAGAAGCACGAATGTAGAGGTAATCGTACACATGCGCAAGCTATGTACGCAAGGCCGGATGGACCAGCATTAGTATCTCATGGGTGACGTGGAAATCTATTTAAATATTTCCACTTAATAAATTTAAAAATAAAAAATTTATTTTTAATAAATTTTAATACATTTTTAAAATTTTAATAAATAGGGAGAAGAACCCACTCATAATCAGATAGTGTCGCTCCTAACGCTCTGCGGCGCTGACCCTAGCGGCTGCGGCGCGCGCGGTAAGGAGAGGTATATATATCACGGAAATCGGCTGAAATGTTTAGACTAATTTCGAGCACTGCTGTAATAAATTGATTGGTGTGAAATTTTGACTAAGTTGACTTCAACAGTGATATGGATACGTCTGGTTGGTTTGCGTATGTGAAATATAAAGATAATGAAAAAGAAAAAGTGCCAATAAGCAAAATAAGTAACGTTAATGACAAAGGACAAAAGATTCCATTTTAGCCCAAGGATCTAAATGATTATGTATATGGAAAGCTGTACTCAGTTCAAACAAGTTTGCGCAGCAAGGATGGCAAAGAATCAAAATATTATGCCGTTGTTGGCAAACTGGCAGGTAAGAAGTTTGAAAGTACGTAAAAACATCTAACTCAATTGATAATGTTCTCAAATTTAACATAAAAAACTACTATTAATAGATAGTCGTTGAGATATTGATATATATCTTCTAAAAAACTCTATCCTAAAAAATTAAAAATTATTACATTTTATCAAAATTAATATAAACCCGTTTGATTTAATCAATTAATTTATTAAAAATTTAACAATGCTTATTTTTATATTTTATCTTTCTTACTTTTCTACAGTGCGATTTATAATATTTAATTAGATGAATATGTGATGAATATTATTGTTCGCTATTCGACTCGGTCCCGACGGGACTTGGAGTACCTTCGCGATACTTAGAACAGTTTGCCCGCCTGCAGTCTCTCGGCCGTCCAGAAAAACGAATAAAAATAACTCTCGTATTGTCTTTAACACTGTTTTATTGAGTCCGGCGTTGTGTAACAAATACAAGCCTTACAATTCACACCCGCTGTATCGCAATAGATACTAATTCCGGTGACCAACTACACGCGGGACAGCTCCCGTGTAACGTTCGTACCGCGCGTGCTAAGACGGGTTAACGTTCGCGAAAAAGAGTGCGAGCTTCCCTCCCGCCTCTCGCGAACAGGAGGTCTTTCTTCCGGCCCCGACCCCCGTCGCCCAGCTCCTCAATCCGCCGGAGCGCGTGCGTCGGTCCGGAGGAAGACGTCCCTCAGACGCCTCGCGCAGGTTTCGCAAAGCACCGGAAGGCCCACAGAAGGTTCCGGAAGCTCGGTGACGCGCAATGCAGGCGCGAAGTGTAAACATACCGCTCGCCTCGTCCAGTAGACGAAATAGGAGAACCAAGGGCCTTGGTAAAGAACCGCCTTGGTAAATCCCGCCATGCGGAATTCGGGATGGATAACACCTTATCTAAAGTTTGCAACTGGATGGTTACACGCAAAACGACGCCGGCAACCCGCTCGGACTTACCAAACGAACAGAGGAAGAACACGAAGCAAATGTTTCTTTGAAGCGAGGGGCGAGAGAGGTCTCGCTTTGATCTCGGCGGGGACCCGTGGATCAGGCCTGGACCGTAGCGGCGTCCACCGGCAAACGACATAGGCGGGTTATTGGTCGAGTTAGGACGGCTCTGGCGGTCCTCACGCCCACCACTCGTACAAGTCCGTCCGGTCCCGGGCTCACCGTGACGACGCGTCCTAACGGCTACTTCGCCGGGGGTAGCAGCTCATCCTGAACGATGACCAGATCCCCCACCTTAAGGTTGGCCTTTAATTGTTGCCACTTATTGGCTTGTTGTAGCTGGTGGAGGTATTCCTTGGACCACCTGTGCCAGAAATGGTTGCGTAAGTTCGAGAGTAGATGCCAACGGTTTATTAAGGTAGAGGGCGTATCGTGGAAGGCCGGTTCAGAAAGGCTGGATAAGGATTCTCCCACGAGGAAGTGGCCAGGCGTGAGCGCCACGAGATCCGTAGGGTCCGGGCTGAGTGGACTGAGCGGTCGTGAATTAAGGCACGCCTCAATCTGACAGAGTAGTGTGGACAACTCCTCGTATGTGAGAGCGTGGTCCCCCAATATTTGCCTCAGATGATGTTTGACCGATCGCACACCGGCTTCCCACAGTCCGCCGAAGTGAGGGGCGTGAGGTGGAATGAATCGCCAGGACGTGCCGTCATTGGCCAAGTATGCGCTGATCTCCTGGTGGAAGTCAGAGGCCGAGCAAAACATCTTTCGCAACGCGGCATCAGCACCGCGGAAATTGGTGCCATTGTCGCTCAGGAGTAAGGCGCAGCGGCCTCGTCGGCTAATGAAGCGGCGAAATGCAGCGATGAAGGCCGTCGTGGTCAGGTCTGAGACCACCTCCAAGTGTATCGCCTTGGTGACGAGACAGATGAAGAGGCATATGTAGCCTTTAACCGAAGAGTGACCGCGTCCTTTGGTCGTTCGAACTCGCAAGGGGCCGGCATAATCGACACCGGAGGTAAGAAAGGGCCGAACTGGCTGCACTCGCTCCGGTGGTAGTTGACCCATTCGCTGTCGACCGACCTCAGCCCTGAAACGAACGCTGCGAACACACTGCCGGGGAACCTGGCGGATGCGAGACGCACCACCTGGTATCCAAAAATGTCGCAGCAGGTAACTCCGCATTAATTGTGGTCCTCCGTGGAGAGTGGCCGCATGCGCATGACGGATCAGTAATAGGGTGAAATGACCCGCTTTCGGCAAGACAAGCGGATGTCATTCAGCATACGGCAATGCGGCCGCCTGTATTCGCCCCCCGACGCGCAGGAGGCCGGAATCGTCTAGGAACGGGAGGAGACGCCTGAGGGTCGACCGGACAGAGATGGGCCGTCCGCCTCGTAGCGCCGTTATCTCGTCGTCATAGTCTCGCTGTTGGCTCCAGCGAATCCAGAATGTCCTACTAAGGAGCAACTCGTCGGAGGTGAGCGCGCCACGACGAGCGGGTTCCTAAGGTTATGGAAGAACCTGAAACAATAAGCGGTAATTCTCAGTAGGCGAATGAGCGAGGAGAACCTCTCTAAGATCTCCTCAGTCGGGGAAGCTTGAGCCAGGTGAACCGCAGTAAGCTTCGTCCTTTGCTCGTCTTCAGGAACGTTGACGAAGTTTGTTGCCTCCGTTTCCGGCCAACTCTTGCGCGGTTTGCCGAGCCAGTCCGGTCCATGCCACCAAAGGTCTCGGTTTAGGATGTCCGAGGGGGAGACGCCTCGAGTGGCCAGATCCGCTGGATTGGAGGTCGTCCTAACATGATTCCAGCGTTCACTGGGTAGAAGACCCTGGATCTCCGCAATCCGATGGGCAACAAAAGGTTTCCACCGGGAGGCGTGGGAACTTATCCAACAGAGCACCACCCGAGCGTCTGTCCACGCGAAGACGGAGGTAGGTGGTATTTCGAGCTCCTTGGCCACTCGGGTCAAGAGTCTCGCTAAGAGCACCGCTCCGCATAATTCGAGACGCGGTATACTTTGCGTTTTCACCGGAGCCACGCGAGTTCGAGCGACCAACAGGTGTGCAGCCGAGTTCCCATCCGACCTTGCAATTCGTAAATAAATTACTGCAGCATAAGCTCTCTCGGAAGCATCCGAGAAGCCATGCAGTTCGGTCGTGACCGTGTCGGACCCGAAGTGGACCCATCGAGGGATCCGCACCTCGTTGAGTTGGTGTAGGGAAGCCCGAAATTGTTCCCAGCCGCTAGCCAACTCTGTGGCCAGAGGGTCGTCCCATTTGCATCCTCGCAGCCATAAATCCTGCAGGAAGACCTTGGCGAAGATAAGCACCGGCGCGGCCCAGCCCAGCGGGTCAAAAAGTCTGGCCGCCTCCGAAAGCGCACTTCGTTTGGTGAGAGCCTCGGGGAAGGAACGCTCGGACATTAAAGCCACCTTCAATGCCAGGGTATCTGTTTGCGGATCCCAGCGTACGCCGAGGGCTCCAACCGAGTCGTTTGCGGTCAGGAGGCGCTCATCCGTCTCCATTCGTGGACACAGCTCGTTCCAATTGGAGGCCCACCTGCTGAGGGAGAAGCCTCCCGCCTGCAGTAAGGAAACGAGTTGTTTCTTAACCAAGCTCGTCTGGTCCTAAGAATCACCACCGGCTAGAATGTCATCCACGTAGGAGTGGCGGGTGAGGATGGCCGCTCCCAGCGGAAAGCGCTCCGATTCGTCCTGCGCCAGCTGACGTAGCGTTCTCAGCGCCAAAAAGGGGGCCGACGTTGCTCCGTACGTGACGGTGGTGAGGTAATAATCACGCACCTCTTCGGACGGAGTCGCACGCCACAGGATGCGCTGTAGGTTCGCATCTTCAGGATGTACCTGGATCTGCCTGAACATCTTGACAATATCGGCCATAAACCCGATCCGAAACAGCCGCCACTTGGAGAGTATCAGCCACAGATCCGCCTGCAACCTTGGACCTGGTAAAAGACAATCGTTTAAAGAGTATCCAGAAGTGGTGCGACAGGACGCGTTAAAGACTACTCGTATTTTGCCGGCGGGATCCCCCGCCTTGAACACGGCGTGATGCGGTAGATAATACGAGTCCCGCGCAACTGACTTCTCGGGACCGACCGGATTCATATGGCCTAGGGCCAGGTATTCAACCATAAAGTCGGTATAGCGTTTGTGTAGGTCCGGCTGCTTACTCAGCCGGCGTTCAGAACTCAGCAGCATGGAAAGTGCAGCGGGTCGAGAGGCCCCAAGTCGCACAGCCTTGTCCTCCTTCCGTGGGAGGCGAACCACGTATCGACCCGTGAGGTCTCGTGCATGGGTCGCACGGAAATGCTGTTCGGCTTTGGTTTCATCGGGGTCTTGAGGCTGTTGAGATGGGATCTCCTCTATCTCCCAGAATCGTTGAAGAGCCCTTGAGATATCGTCCGTCGACAGGGCATGATGCACGGAGAGACGGTGGGAAGCCACCGTCCCTTGTTCGTTCGCCTGCACGGTCCCGGTGAGCACCCAGCCGAACGCGGTGCGCAAGGCCGTCGGCGTACCCGGATCTCCGCGACGAATATCAGGCTCCAGGATTCGATCATAGATGTCTGCGCCCAAAATCGCATCCACCTTTGCGGGTACGTTGAACAACGGGTCGGCCAAGGTCAATCCAAATAGATGCATACCCGAGGGGAGTAGCACTTGTTTCGCAGGTAATAAATTGGTTAGATTTCTGAGGACGAGTGCCTCGGTTTTGATGTGCACCGTGGGGTTGACCGGAGAACGTACTCCCACTCCGATGGACGAAGTGACGGTGCCCGTCTGAATACCCTGAAGGCCCGCGACTGTCACGTGGACGCGCTTCCGCCTCGCGCGCAATTGTTGGGCTGCTCGTTCTGAGACGAACGTAGCCTCAGATCCGGGGTCCAAAAGAGCTTTGACCTTGATCGACTGTCCCGCGTCGCTCTGCAAGATGATCTGAGCTGTCGCGAGAAGGGTTACTCCAGCCGGACGGGATACGTAAGTGGACACGCTCATGTTGAGCGCCTTGGCTGTGGAGGCGGGGGAACCGTTCATATTCACAACCCCCGACACCCCGACGGGTTGAGGCTGGAACCCGTGAAGCGCGGTGTGATGCTTGCCGGCGCACACCAGGCAACGACCGGTCGACGGGCAGGCATCGGCGTGATGTCCCCCGCGCAGACAATTAAGGCACGCGCCTAATTTCTTCGCTTGTTCGCTCCGCTGCACAACCGTCATGGCCTTGAACCTTGCGCAGTACGGTAACGCGTGAGCGTCTTGGCAGAGAAGGCATTTACTCTTCCCTTTTGGCTTCGCCGTTGAAGCCATGTTAGCGGATACCCTAGAGCCCTTCGTGGTTTTTGGACTGGGCGTGGAGGTGGTACGCGCTAGAGAAGCTTCGGGATTGGCCGCCTCCAATGCCCGAATGCGATTTTCCAGGAATTCCTGTAACTGCTTAAACGTGGGGAACGCCCGCGAATCCGCTAGAGATGTCTCCCAGTGCAGACGCGTGTGAGAATCCAATTTGCTGACCAGTAGATGTACCAACCAGTCATCCCACTGGTCGACCGGACGTTTCAAGGATGTGAAGGCCCGGATCGACTGGTTTACGGTGGCGAGTAAGCGCTTGATCTCTGACGGCGATGACTTTGCGACATTCGGACAGGAGAGCACGTTGCGCATGTGCACGAAGAGTAGGATTCGTTGGTTGTCGTACCGTGCGACAAGGTCATTCCACGCGCCCTGATACGCAGCATCGGTCAGCGGCAGGTTCGCGGCAATCTCCTCCGCCTCACCAGCCAGGCAACCTCTCAGGTATTGCAGTTTTTGCACGGGGGGAATGTCGGATACCTCGTGCACCAGCGAGCGGAATAGATCCCGGAAGCTCTCCCAACCAAGCTGCTCGCCGGAAAATTTGGGCAAATTGAGCTTTGGCAATTGCATTTGCCTGATGAGGGGGGACGCGGCCGTTGGAGACGCATCGTTCGCTCTTTCCCTCGACTGCATTGGGAGCAAAGCCGTGAGAAACTTGTTTCGTACAAGAAAATAATTCTCCTCGGAGATTGTAAAAATATCTCTGGTGCTGTACTCGTGTTGGCTAAGTTCGTCATATTGGAGAAGTTGAAAATGTGTACTCTGAAACTGCCGCCAATAATCGTCGAGTCGCTCCAGGCGCGTTTTAATCTCAAGCTCGGTAATCCGAGCCTGCCCGAGTTTCTGCAGATTCGTCCACATACGGGCAATGTAACCCGATAATGACATCTGTTGCCGTATCAACGTGTCCATTCTAGATAGTTATTGAACTCGATTTTGCGAAATGTCTCGTCACGAGAAATAAGACAGAGTTTAAGCAGCACGACAGAAGCGAGCACTCGGGGAGCGAGAGAGATAGAGATAGAAAAAAGGAGCAACGTGAGGTACCTACCAGCTGGCGAACACGCAGCGAGCACGTGCGTTCGAGCGAGCGTGCTCAAGTGCGACCGAAAGCACAGGTATAGAGCGTGCAACAGAGCGCGAGCACGCGTCTCGTCGCAGCGAACAGACGGCGCGCGCCGATCCGGGTTGACGCTGGTCCTTCCGTTGCGGGAGAAAGAGAACACTGCGTGCTCCTTACGCACTTGCTAAATTACTCCTCCTTTTCCCTGGAGGCGGGATCGCTCCTCCACTGTATCGGGCCAAGGATGAGAGAGTCTTGTTATGAGAATCCACTGCACTCACTCACAGATTTCGGAGCGCGGAAATTTAATGGTGCGCGCGCGGTCTCGCCGGAAGTGCCGTGGCACGGCACGCCACGTGGCGAGATACCACGAGAGTTATTAACGTTTCCGAACTTTCCGTGGGCGTACGCCGCAAAACTCAATCGACAGTAGTATGTATCCGGCTCGAAGGACCAAATTGTTCGCTATTCGACTCGGTCCCGACGGTTTCCGGGACTTGGAGTACCTTCGCGATACTTAGAACAGTTTGCCCGCCTGCAGTCTCTCGGCCGTCCAGAAAAACGAATAAAAATAACTCTCGTATTGTCTTTAACACTGTTTTATTGAGTCCGGCGTTGTGTAACAAATACAAGCCTTACAATTCACACCCGCTGTATCACAATAAATACTAATTCCGGTGACCAACTACACGCGGGACAGCTCCCGTGTAACGTTCGTACCGCGCGTGCTAAGACGGGTTAACGTTCGCGAAAAAGAGTGCGAGCTTCCCTCCCGCCTCTCGCGAACAGGAGGTCTCCCTTCCGGCCCCGACCCCCGTCGCCCAGCTCCTCAATCCGCCGGAGCGCGTGCGTCGGTCCGGAGGAAGACGTTCCTCAAGCGCCTCGCGCAGGTTTCGCAAAGCACCGGAAGGCCCACGGAAGGTTCCGGAAGCCCGGTGACGCGCAATGCAGGCGCGAAATGTAAACAATTATAATAGGTGCTTTCCATTTAGCGACACAAGTCGACATAAGCATCATTCTATTTCTTTTCAACACTATTAAGCAATAAAGATAGAATGACGCTTGTGTCGATTTCTATCGCTAAATGGAAAGCACCTATTGGCAATACTTTCCTCTATTATCAAAACTTTGTAACTTTGTATTTGATGAATGTTGTAACAAGGACAGGAAACGCTTGATATACTTTATTATATTTTTATGTTTTTATCTCAGAATTTTTAGAAGCTATAAATGCTGTCAGACCCAGGTGGCCAGACTTGCAAATTGATGATGAAGAACCTGAATCTACAGGAGTAGAAGATCAAGAAGAGAATATAAATTATTGCATTCAAAAAAATAAAGATCAAGTTGTCAGTATAAGTTTTTTTTTCATTCGTTGTTAACGTTTTATTTATTGCTTCTAAAATTCTTCATTTTGACTTAATATTTTATAATATTTTTTTGTTGCACAGAAAATTAAGAAAAATAAAAAACAAAAAACTTCAAATAAGGAATTGGAATTATTTATCGAGAACAATGTATTAAATGAAAAAGTTTTTGACAAAAATATAACAATTGAAGCAGCAAAAGTAAGTGTCACAGAAAAGTGTGATATTAAGTATTATAGTAAAATATTAAGTATTAATTGTTTTATTTATTGCAGAAAAAAACTAAAAATGATAAAACATATGATGAGGATAATATTCAAGTTGAAAATAAGAAACATAAATCTATTTATAGAAATTCGACTGAAACAAAGTATCTTCAAGAAAAAATTCTGCAATTAGAGAATGAATTAAAAGAAAAGGATGAAGTACTTTCTTTTATCAATAATCCGCAAGTTGAATATTTAGAAAAATTTTTTGAAAAAAAAATGATGGAATTAGAAGAAAGATTAAAGAAAAATTTGGAGAAGAAAGTTATAGATGTATTTGAAGAGAGCGTTATAACGAAACTTGACCAAAAGATATCAAGTATCGAAGACATAATGAGTACGTCATCTGCAACAAATGCTCAGAAAGTATTAAATTGGATAAATAATCTTTCTGAGTAGACTATATCAGGTCTAAGTAGACTATATCAAGCCAACAGGGCTTTGTGCAATAACTTTCTCACTTTTTACACAGTACAAAATTATAGAAATAATTAAAAAATTATAGAATAATTATAATATTAAAATTTTTTTAATATTAGTGCATTTTTCTGCTCTTTTATTAGTCTTTTATTTGTGAAACTATTTTTTATAATTGGTTAACGATTAGTTAAAAACATTATCTGTCATTAATACTGTACAACTTTATCTGTATGGCAGAGTTACAAATGATCATTTCAATAAAATGGTCATGTTTTACACAGTACAAAATTATATAGCATGTTAGCAGGCTAATATTATATAAATTAATTAATAAGATTATATTTCTAACTACAAATCATTTTAGTCTACTTAGTTTATATTGATAATTCAGAGTAACTGAACAAAGCACTACATTTGCCTTGCATGCCTTCTTATAAGAAAAATTTTTTATGAAAAACAGAATGTTATAAGCAATTAAATATTTGAGATAAAATCAATCACTTTTTCAAATTGAATTTTAGTAAAAGAGATTCAAGATAATTCACATTCAATTATATGATGTCGTAATAATGATAAAAATCTTAGCCTCTTAGACTTGTTTGTTAGTTTTAAGTTACGTAATAGTAGATTTAGTTTTTAAATTTTTAGATTTAATTGTTTTTTAAGTAGATTTATTTTAATACAATACATGCAGGACATTTAAATATTCGATAAGCATAGGTGAGAATCATTTCAAATATTATAATTGTTTAATAATACTACTACAAGTGAAATAATCTCAATGGGAACACTGTTATCTTAGAAGATTATCTGAGAAGATTTTAATAAGTATCAATTTTTTGGAAGATAAGATTTATATAATAGTTTTGCTCATAGAATTACATTGCAGACTCACTGAGAAAATATGAGATTCTATAAAATATATTTTTTTTTTAGAAACACATTCATCTTCTTTTACACCTACTTCAAGCAACGTTGAAACGGTACGTTGTTTTACGCGGAGTAACTTGTCGGAGTCAGGAGTTCGGTCGGTTGGGGGCACGCAGAAGAATGCTCGGATAAAATAAATAAAATGAAATAATAAAACGAGATTTATTTCTCAACTGATGAAGTCTATAATTTACAAATCCGTGTGGATACAGAGCGTTTTAATATGTTGGTTTGAACGCGGGTTATAAATTATCTCGGCGGTGATGGACAATATATATTGTGACGAGAAAGCGTCAGCGCAAGCGCGGGTGTTGCAGTGGCTCCTAGGCGACTGCGAGCGCGTGGGTCGATGCGTTCGAGCGGCGGCGAGGATCGATCGACTGATCGATATGCTCGGCCGCGTGCGCGGTGGTGTCGATGTTCGCCGTTGGTTCAATTAGTTCGCGATTGCCTGCCGGATTTGAGGACCCGATTTTAAAAGGATGAAGACGGGAGCGAGGACGCGCGTATTGCCCGCGTCTCGAAATGGCTGGTGTTTTGACGTGGAGCCGAGTATTCCCGGTGGTATACGGGTAGGCCCGTATGTAAGAATGAAGCCGAGTGCGCTCGGTAATATACGAGTATGCTCGTATTTAGGTAACGAGACCGAGTATGCTCGGTTATTATACGAGTGCGCTCGTATGCGAGGAAACGAAACCGAGTATGCTCGGTAATATACGAGCATGCTCGTATGCGAGGAACGAACCGAGTATTCTCGGTAACGTGCGAGTATGCTCGCACGGAGG